GATGGCAGGAGGGAGGGGTTACTATATTTAGACAAAAATGGCCCCTCCCAGACTCAGTATTCACAACGAAAATTATTATTTTTATCTTTTTTACTGATTAACGCTAAATTCATTAAATCACCGCAAACGTATTAGTTTTAAGCATAAATAATGATCCACTAATTATTCCTTGCTGACCGGAGTTTTCCTTTATATCTCGTTATTTTTTACAAAAGATCATTTTCATGAGAATTTTTTTTACGTGGGATGTCCGTTTCACGCAGCTTAAGCTCCTCCTATTTGATGACGCGTTTCACAGTGACTAGACCGACACGGCGTTCTGTCTGATTGCACCTGAATGCAGCTTTATTTCTATTTTAATCATGTTCCTGATTGAAATAATCAGCAGTAAGTGATAACATAGTACCTGAGTTGTGTCCTTCGCAGAGCAGCTGCAGGAAGCGGAAAAGGTCACAGGTGAACTCATCATCCTGCATGACCTTCTCACCTGGCAGAAGAGAAGAAACAAACACGCACACATGCGGGAACACGTAAGCACAACCACGGACGAGCGTAGGCACAGACATCCAAACAACAGCGGCATGAGCAAACATTAAGAGCACACTCAGATTTATATTTACAGACACAGAGATCAGAGAGACGACAAGAGAGGCAGACAACATGTGAGAAAGAACAGGAAGATGGAGAGTGAGGCCATGTTAGAAGACCGTCCCTAATGTTAGGATATCACCAGTGAATTAATTCACCACAGAGTCCATCTTTGCTATCACAAACACACATTCACACCGTTGGATGAGAGGTGCACAGCTGCGCACTAAGTGGTAAACTCATGTGTCGTCTACATAGTGCAGCATTTTACAGTCAGAAATTTGGTTCATTTTATCTTTGGGTTGAGTTTTAGCTTCTCTGCCGTGAATTTTAGATTAAACCACAGAGGAAACCGAAGCTGGCAAATCTGACTGTGTAAAAATGCTGCTCTAAACCATGAAATGCACAAAGAAAGAAGGACGGACCAGACACCAGGTAACCAGAAACCTCAACAGATCCGTAGAAAGTGAACAGAACCGGAACAGAGGAGGGAATCAGAAAGTCTGAAACAGGACTGAAAGTTCAAGGGTCTCTTTTCAAAATGCAGAGATGATCAGTTCTACCAGGGAGGCAGCTGTTCTAGATGCTATTCTTTATAACTGAGATGCTGAATTCAATCTGGGGAAGTTAGAGAATAACCTCTAACGGCAGGAAACGTAGAGAAATGCTTTGAGCAGCAGAGCTGAAATGTAACAGGGATCCAGTAAAGAGTCACATCCAGACAGCAAGAACCTGCAAAGCTCAGTAGAGGAATGGGCCAAAAGGCTTAGAGCTACGTTAAGCTAAGAGCTAAGTTAGTATAAGGTGAACTCTAATGCTGAGTTCACACCAGACGTGTTTTTTGTCGTGGTTTTGGTTCTGTTTAAGTATTCTTTTTGAGTTTTCAGTTTCACTTTGATCCATGTTTTTCTTTTTTTTCTAGTTTTATTGCTTTAATTCCTATTTTGTCGTGTTTCTGGATGTATTTGAGTTCTTAGGTATTTCTTGTTTGCCCTGTTGCGTCAGTCTCCTTTTCCATAGCTCCCTTCTAGAATCCTCTGTCCACACCTGCTCCCAATTAGCTAATTATCCTGGTCTTTGTTTCTCTCTCCCATATATGCACCTCCTGTTCAGTCACTATTGCTGGGTTCCTTTTCCCTTGTTGTGAGTATTCCTGGTTCTCAGTTTTTGTTAGTGATAGTGAGATGAAGCCTCAAGAGGCATTTGAACCGTTTGGCTAATTGCTTCAAGATCCCACAGTTCATGAAGCCTCATGTGAACATGTCACCACCTACTGATGGTGTGCAGTAATACAGTAAGTAATATAATCTGATTTTTTGCTGTTGTTTTTCGTGTTTTTCTTTTTTTTTTCCCCATATAAGTTCCTCTGAAATTGTTAATAATTGGTCTATATAATAAAAAGTTTTTTAAAGATTTTTTTTTGTGTAAAATGTCTTAGAAGTGACGAATCACTGTTTTTCTGCCATTTTAGTGAAATAAGCTCAAGAATACAGTGAAAGTGTTTGTACAAATTGAACAAAATGAAAATCAATGAACAGAATGAAAGGTGTTGGTCATTTTATTCAAACATAATAGTTTTTCCCGGTTTTTGTTTTTAATCGGGTTGGAAGTTATATGTTCAATGATTCTTTCGGTCAAACCAACCAATCTAACTTTGGCAGTGTTTTTACCCAATCTATATTTGTACTATGGCAAACCAATACAATTTAGTCACAGTAGCCAAAAAAAATAAATCTTTATCGCAACTTTCAAAAGTCTGGGTTGGAATTTGTAAACACTGACTCATTCACATTATGTTGTTTAATCTAACCAAACTAGTTTTAACCAACTAGATCGGTTTGTTTTTCCAACCAATCTATTCTTAGAATCGATCCAACTGAGAGCAAGATCCTCCAAACTCCCGCATCTTGACTGAATACTTATCCTGTTTAAATGCCTGCCAAAGTTCAAGGCGAGCTGGACCACTTCCCGAAGCGGTCACGTGGTATGGCGAGGTAGCGAGGCTTCGGACGTCATCTATTTGGGCTCCTCCCCCCAATGAAGCAAGCCTCGATAAGCGCCTCGTGGAAACGCCCCCTACACTATTTGACACACGCCTCGAAGCCTCGGCTCATCTCATAACATCACTAGTTTTTGTGAATTAATGTTTTAACCCCCAAAAAAGGTTGAACATAGAAATCTGGATGTTGGATCAAACTGTGGTCAAGTTGCTTTGCTGCTCTGGGTGTTTATCTGCTCTGTTCTGTAGCTTCCAGCTAGAGAGCAGCTTGGCTTTATTTACTTTATTATTTATTACTATTATAAAATAAAACATGATCATCTTCTTGTGGAGACCAATAAAGAACATTGAGGAAGGAAAAACCAATGCGCTCTTTCAAGGTTCCTACCAATGTCTCCTTCCAGGCTTTGTGATGTTCTCTTTTGGCTGTTTTTATTCTATTCACCTCTTTTATAAATATTTAAGTTTAGTCATTTAATTTCTTTTGGTGTAATCATATAAAGATTGTCTGTCATCCCACTGCATTAAGTGCTCCCCCCCTCCCCTACCAGCAAACATCTGTGGATGTGCCCAGAAATGTTGATAAACTTCCATCTTATCACGGTCATTGCCTGTGGTCAGCGTTTACGGACATATTGAACACACTCATCACACAACTAATGTCTCAATATCTCAGATTGACTTCATGTGACTCCGCCTCCGATGTGACCCTCTGCTGAAATGTCTGTCACATTGTTATGTGTGTTATGTGCTTTTCTTGTGCTATAGTTGATGACATCATCTGGTAGTATCAGTATATTGACTGACTACCTTTTTCCCCCCACTTAAAGCACTGATTATTCCACTCTTTTTTTTTTTTTCCGAAAGTCCAAATGTGTTTACATGTTTATAGACATTGGATCTTTACCTATTTTTCAGTGTAGTCCNCCTCCTGTTCAGTCACTATTGCTGGGTTCCTTTTCCCTTGTTGTGAGTATTCCTGGTTCTCAGTTTTTGTTAGTGATAGTGAGATGAAGCCTCAAGAGGCATTTGAACCGTTTGGCTAATTGCTTCAAGATCCCACAGTTCATGAAGCCTCATGTGAACATGTCACCACCTACTGATGGTGTGCAGTAATACAGTAAGTAATATAATCTGATTTTTTGCTGTTGTTTTTCGTGTTTTTCTTTTTTTTTTCCCCATATAAGTTCCTCTGAAATTGTTAATAATTGGTCTATATAATAAAAAGTTTTTTAAAGATTTTTTTTTGTGTAAAATGTCTTAGAAGTGACGAATCACTGTTTTTCTGCCATTTTAGTGAAATAAGCTCAAGAATACAGTGAAAGTGTTTGTACAAACTGAACAAAATGAAAATCAATGAACAGAATGAAAGGTGTTGGTCATTTTATTCAAACATAATAGTTTTTCCCGGTTTTTGTTTTTAATCGGGTTGGAAGTTATATGTTCAATGATTCTTTCGGTCAAACCAACCAATCTAACTTTGGCAGTGTTTTTACCCAATCTATATTTGTACTATGGCAAACCAATACAATTTAGTCACAGTAGCCAAAAAAAATAAATCTTTATCGCAACTTTCAAAAGTGTGGGTTGGAATTTGTAACCACTGGCTCGTTCACATTATGTTGTTTAATCTAACCAAACTAGTTTTAACCAACTAGATCGGTTTGTTTTTCCAACCAATCTATTCTTAGAATCTATCCAACTGAGAGCAAGATCCTCCAAACTCCCACTTCTTGACTGAATACTTATCCTGTTTAAATGCCTGTCAAAGTTCGGGGCGAGCTGGACCTCTTCCCGAAGCGGTCACGTGGTATGTCGAGGTAGCGAGGCTTCGGACGTCATCTATTTGGGCTCCTCCCCCCAATGAAGCAAGCCTCGATAAGCGCCTCGTGGCAACGCCCCCTACACTACTTGATACACGCCTCGAAGCCTCGGCTCATCTCACAACATCACTAGTTTTTGTGAATTTATGTTTTTTTGCGGATTTTTGCTTCTGTTACCCTTTTTGTTATTAAATCTTCAAGAAACTACTTCAGCTTCAGGGTCCCTGCATTTGAGTCCTGTTAAACATCCACCCTACCGCGTCAGTTTTAAGCCTCTAAAATGGTTAAACGTAGAAATCTGGATGTTGGATCAAACTGTGGTGAAGTTGCTTTGCTGCTCTGGGTGTTTATCTGCTCTGTTCTTTGGCTTCCAGCTAGTGAGCAGCTTGGCTTTATTTACTTTATTATTTATTACTATTATAAAATAAAACATGATCATCTTCTTGTGGAGACCAATAAAGAACATTGAGGAAGGAAAAACCAATGCGCTCTTTCAAGGTTCCTACCAATGTCTCCTTCCAGGCTTTGTGATGTTCTCTTTTGGCTGTTTTTATTCTATTCACCTCTTTTATAAATATTTAAGTTTAGTCATTTAATTTCTTTTGGTGTAATCATATAAAGATTGTCTGTCATCCCACTGCATTAAGTGCTCCCCCCCTCCCCTACCAGCAAACATCTGTGGATGTGCCCAGAACTGTTGATAAACTTCCATCTTATCACGGTCATTGCCTGTGGTCAGCGTTTACGGACATATTGAACACACTCATCACACAACTAATGTCTCAATATCTCAGATTGACTTCATGTGACTCCGCCTCCGATGTGACCCTCTGCTGAAATGTCTGTCACATTGTTATGTGTGTTATGTGCTTTTCTTGTGCTATAGTTGATGACATCATCTGGTAGTATCAGTATATTGACTGACTACCTTTTTCCCCCCACTTAAAGCACTGATTATTCCACTCTTTTTTTTTTTTCCGAAAGTCCAAATGTGTTTACATGTTTATAGACATTGGATCTTTACCTATTTTTCAGTGTAGTCCTGTTTCTCTGACTGTGACTAACTGGATGTGCTCT